TTTAAAAATATATCTATAAGGCACAGCAATAATCTAGTCACTTAAAAAGTAAAGCAGCATACTGAAATTCCTTCTGTAAATGTAGATGGTACAAAATCCAGAAGTCCTTTGCCTTTGAGCAATTCTACCCATTCCAAAGTAAAATAAACCCATATCACTTGGATTTGGCCATTCCAGTAACAACTGCATTGGCTTGCCCTGCTTAACTACTCATTTAAATTTTATTATGAGGTCAAGGAATGGGGAGGTCACTGGGGAGGTCACATTCAAGGTGACACCTTACATAGCAAGAAGGAGTGTCAGCAGTAAGGCCACACTGGGAGGAGGGAGTGGGTGGGGAGAATGAGTGATAAGGTCAGAGAGGTCAGCAAAGTCTAGACCATGCACAGCTTGATGCCAGGTGTGTAGTTTAGATTTTTTTTTTTTCCATTTCAATAGATTTAAGGGGCACAGTGGTTTTATGTTACATGGATGAATTGTATAGTGGCAAAGTCAGGGCTTTTGGTGTACCCATCACTCAAATAGTGTACATTGTACCAAACAGGGAGTTTAGATTTTATCATAAGAGCAATGGGAAGCTCTTGGAGGGTTTTCAGCAGGAGAGTGGCATGATCTAACTTTTTCAAAATATCATTCTGGCAGCTGTTTTGGTGAAGTTAGAGTGGATGTGGGAAGAGCAGTTAGGAGACTATTCGAGTAATCTTGGTGAGACATAGTGGTAGCTATGCAATAAAGAGAAATTAATGAACACAGGACATATTTTGGATTTCTATCTGATAGGGCATACTGGTGGATTAGATGGGGAGTACTGGTAAGCAAGGTAAGACTGAAGGCTGCCTTGGTGCTGTTTGCTGAATTAAGGAAAGACTGTGAGAGGCATATCGGATAATTTGGGGATGGGAGAGAAGCCTAGATGGGGGTGATGCAAGAGTCCAGTTTTGGGTCAAATTAACGTTGGAATGTCTATTATATATCCAAGTATATATGTCAAGAAAGCAGTTAGATATAAAAATTTGGAGTTTGATGGAAAGGTCAGTGCTGGATTTATAAATATGGTAGTCATCAAGTTATTGCTAAAGTTTAATAAGATTGGATCTAGGTTGAGAGCATAGCTGCAGTAGAAAGCCTAGGACTCAGCCCTTGGGCTCCTCACCATTGAGAGATTGAAAAGAGAAAGCCAGCCAGCAAAGGAGACTGAGGCAGTACATTTCGCAGGAAAACCATAGAACATGGCATCCTGGAGGCCACAAGTACAGAGTATTCAAGATGGGAGTGTTTGACTTTGTCAAATGCTGTAAAGACATCAAGCAAGATGAGGACAGAAACAACCATTAGATGTGATAAAAATGGAGGCCCATTGGCCCACTAAACAGATTTTAGTGAGTAATGGGGCTGGAAACCTATTTAGAGTCAACTGAGGCAAGAATGGGATGTGAAAATACTGAGACAGTGCTTCTGCTTGCTGCAAAGGGTAGAGAAAAACAGGTAGAACTTGGAGGGGGAGCTAAGAAGTTGAGGGAAATACTTCAGTAGATATGAATACTAGTGAGATTGATCCAACAGAAAAGGAGAAAGTGATGACATAAGAGAAAAACATGTTTAACTGCAGGAGAAAGTCTTGTAGCAGGTGAGACAGTATGGGATCCAGAATAAACATAGAGGCATCATCCTCAGACAAGAGCAGGAACTCTCCACCCATCCCAGAAGGAGGAAAGTCACAGCATGTGAGTTTACACGTAAGTTGTTATACAAGGGCTGTCCGGAAAGTATCCAGCCATGTAACTGTTCTTGTTATATTAACAATGGTTGGATACTTTCCAGACAGCCCTCATAGTTGGGGGTAGATGAAAAGGGATTATTTTGGAACTAGATTATAAGCATATGCATACTATGGGATATCAAAGCTAGTATATATCAATTGTATTAATGAGTATATATAAATATATCTATCACCGTCTCAAAGAAGAATGAGACAGTAGAGCGAGGGATTTGAAGATATATCTTAGACGTTGCTTTTCCCCTACTGAAAATTTGATTCTTCAGTTTCTACCCATTACATTTCTACATACTGAAGATCTATGACTTACCAGTTATACCACTTTATAATGCTATCAGACAGGGAGCCAAATTCAAAATCTGTCCCCCTGGACAAGTTTTATCCCATGATCTTAGTCTTCTCTGATTTTTTCTCGACCTCGAGGTTGCACCTCACATACAATCAGCACTCAATCATTTCACGTTTGTCTCCTGCGCCTTGGTCTCACTGTCTCAAATAGATGTTAAGTTTCCAGGATGGGGCCAAGAATTTTACAATAAAATATCACTGTGTCTCCCACCATGAAAAACCTAGTATTAGATATAGAGTAGTACTTAACAAATTCTTGTTGACCAATTTAACCTTTTAGAGTTGAATGGCTAATAAAAAGTTTTATGCAGCAATTCCCTGGCTAAAGGAATATGCATAATTCTTCATGGCACCTGCTGGGTATTGCTGGGAGATGCTGAAATCATTCATCAATTTTCTCCTTTTTATGTTATTCAATTAGTTTGTCTGGGGCAAAGTCTAGAATGTGTATCAATCAAAAGCAAAATGAGCAGCTGTGCACAAGCTATCTTCATACAAACGATTTGCATCTACTATCTTATAGAAAGGACTTTGGTCTGAGAAAGTATTCAAGTGCAGGAAGCTTTAAGGAGAATGTAATAGTAAGCACTGAGAATTACCCCATGTTACTGCTATCTGTAGCATAATGATGAATTTGAAATCAATTTGGTAATATCCTCAGTGGAAAAATAATATTAAGTAAACAACTCATCACCATAGCCTATTTTGCATTGTCTTACATAAAATTTTTCTTTTCAGTCTTCACTGAAAGCTTAGGTGTCAGTAGACTTTTAGAATACAAATTTCTAGTTTGTTGAATTAAGTGAAGAATGCTTAGTTTCTAATTTGATTCTTAATTGTTAAGCCAATTAAAGCTATTTGGATATAACATTTAAACCAGAATACAAACATTGCTCATATATATTTTTCTTTTAAGAAGTAACTGTGCTATCATACGATATTGACTTTTAATTTTATCCAACAGGTTACCAGAGAAAGTTAAAGAATTAACAATCAGAATAGCATTTAACTAAAAATACCAGATACTACACATGGCAGTCTATAGAGCTGCAGAAGTGAGTGATTACAGCCACTGTAAAATTTTGTCATTATGTAAAGTAGCTATTGACAGAATGAACTACTTAGTTTTTCCATGTCATATGTAACTTGGTAAAGATAATATCTGATAAAATGAAATATATCAAAAGACTTAGAATTTCAGAATATATGAAACCTACACCAAAATATCATTAGGAACACTTCTTCAGCAGAATCCCATAGTATTAGAAAATACTAAAAAGAGAGAATCTTTTTTAAACATTTGTTGCATAAAATATTTCAGTTGGAAGACTTAATGAATTTTGTAAGATGTATTTGCATTTATAAGATTTTCATTTTTTGATACTTACATTTAGAGATCTGATGGTAACAGAGCCACTAAGTCTATAGGTAAGAAATATTAAATCTGTTTAGCTACTGTTCTAGGTTTCTATTAATTTCTCACTAACGTACATTGATTTTTATACTGCTTTTATTCATCCCATAAATTAGATTCTAACTCATGGCAAAATGGCAAAGTTTACATTGCTCATCTAAAAAATAAATCCAGGTAATTTAGAATTATGTTGAAATTAACCAATAAACTATGATCCATTGATTCTTTTTGTGAGTTTTTTGGGGAAAAGAAGATACATTAGTAAGGTTTTTCTTCTTTTTAATCACCAGGATAAAAAAAGATACATGAATCTTTTTCTTAAAGCTTTTTTCTTGCTGATGGAGGTAACGTACCTTAAAATGGAGGTTAATATGCAGTTAATGGCACTGACTTAACTAAATATTGCAAATGTGATAGTATAACATCTTGGTAAATATGGGAATTTTGAGAGCCATAACATTAGAGACTTTGATATGTTGTAAGATCAATAGACATGACTTACCACTATTTAATATGAGCTTTAATTTTTAAATGCCATGTTCCATGAACTTTCATGTTCCATGAAAAAGTATACTGCACAGGAAAATTGAAATTTCAATAAAGAATCAAGACAAAAGAAACAAACTTTATATTAAAGTATCTTTAAGAGGTTGTACTTACGCAGCAACCTCCTCTTTTGACAATCCTTTGAAATTCACCTCCACATAATGATCTATGTCATCTTTTTCTTTGATCAATTGAGATCTAAATGGAATGTAAAGAAATAATAAAGCACTGCCTTATCAAGTTGAAAAGCTACCAAACATATAAAATGCCACCAGGAGAACAGAAATATTCAGGGTATAATATCATATATAATACATGTTCTACAACAGCTATACAGTTAGGTTGCTGATTGATAGTTTCAAAATTTTAATTTTCCTGAATGGAAAAAGATAGGGAAGAATATTAAACCCAGTGTGTAAACAAATAAAATACCAACACATTGAAACAATTCACATTCTTAAATAAATGGAGTTTTCTCTTCGAAGTTTATGAAGTCTTCCATTTTGCTCACGTTGTTTCACAGTATAACTTTTCAACTGCTGAAGTCATATTTTGTTTGGCACAGAATCTTGAATCAAGAATATGTGTTTGATAAAAATGTGTAAAATTTGTTTGTCCCAAACATTACTAAATTTTGCCATGAACTTCTGGTTAAATAGTTTTTTTTTTTAATCACACATAAAATTTAAATTATTATTAAAGATTCAATATGCAAAATGATTTTAAAGAATACCTAATTGAGAAATATACTTGTAGTGTATTCATTCATCACGCCCCTTTTTATCTTTAAAAATAAGCATGCTATCAACCTCTCATAACTATGGGGACATGAGACAAAACAAATACCTATGTTTTATTCAGAAGCTATTAAAGAATGTTTATATAAATTTGCCTTGAATGGTTATGATAAAAATGTTTTTCTTAAATAAAGTGAATACAAGAAAAGGTTTTCTGTAAAATCTATCTTATCTTAGGGGTGGCAGATTAGGCTATATTTTTGCTCATCTTAAAAACAAAATGTAATCTCAATCATTAAAAAAGACAGAAAGAACAATCTTTTTCAGGCTTTGTAAATACTTCACATTTCTCAAAAGTAAAACAAAAAATAAGAACATGTGTATGTAGTATGCACATGAATTATGCATGTATTGAAAGATTTCTCAGCTATAGAAAAAGGAAATTTTGATTTGTTATTTTAAAAAATCTTTATGTTAGTTTAGCTGAATGTATTTATTTTGGTCCAAGGGCTTTGGTCTTTCCCAGAAATACTAAAAATGAAGTTCAGAACAAAGAAGTCTCATAATACTCGGATCATTATGCCTTGCAGAAATTGAAAAGTGTGCATAGAAAGAAAATAATCAAACCTACATAGGCAAATTGTTTATGTTGATAAATACCATATGTATTACTAAAAGTCTATAAAATTACAAATGGAAATTTTAAAGTAGGACAATCTCAGTTAATATTCATAATGCTGATAAAATGCATTGAATTTTCTGTCCTGCACCTTCCCAGCAACAACTCCAGTAGCTCAGCAGCCATTCATGGGCAGCAGTGGTTTGATGATGCATTTTTCAGACCAGCATCATTTCATGAGCTAATTCATGCCTGCCACTCGACCCTAGAAGCAAGGCTGCACCCTCCTTTCTCCAAAACAGAAGTCAGCACTCAGGACCTTGTGGATTGAAAGCAATACACCTTTCATCCCTAAAGCTTCTTCTTTCTATTCTGAGCATACATTTTAAAAATGAATCTTATCTCCAAAACTCTATAGGTGCCATGATATAATTGCAATAGGAACTAAAACAATCAGATGAGCACTCGCTTGATAAATAAATACATTTGTAGTTTTTGAATGAGGGTCATCAATCCTTTGAAACAGCAAATTTGAATATTTTGAATATAACAATGTATTTTTCTCTTATCTTTAAATGATTTTATTTTCTGAGATATGCTATCGACCTTTCTTACTGTAGGAAATTCATTCTGTAGGGAAAGAAGTGAAAACCTGGGCACATACCTTGGAATTGTTACAGGGGAGCATGGCAGCTTCTGTCTGGCTAAGGCCATAAGCTTTGGGCGTGTCATGGGCAGTGGGGGCAGGGTGGCCATTTTGGACTAGAAAAAAAAAGCAGAAATGATGGTTTAAAGAATCAATCTTTCAAAGGACCCTTTGACACTATTAGAGGACCCTAAGACATTATTAGACATCCACAGTCTATCGTCTTTGCTGAAAATGCCTCTGTATGTAGAGCTACGGTTCTCTTATTGAGGAATGATATTCAGTAAGGGGAGTCTGCAGGGTGCTTCTCTCATTATTTTCTTTTACTGTCTGCCTTTTGGCCAATTTATTTGTTGCCTGCATCTCCACCACAAAATGGATAATGAGAAAACCTGATAAATGCGTTGATGACTCAGCCAATCATCAGGTTTGGTAAGAGTTTTGTTAAGGGACATGACTGAAATTAAAAAATGAAGATTTTTAGGATAGTTATGGATTTCAAATGTTTATGCTTTGCTTTCATGTTACAATCAATGATTGAAAATTGCCCATACTTTGCTGTTTTCTAAAAGCCTTATCACTGAAAACAAAGGCTTTCTTTTAGAAGTGATAAAAGCCAACAGTAAGTCTCAAAATGGAGACAGCTCTCCTGAGAAAGCACACAGCTATAACAGTATAATGAATCACTTCAAAACGTATTGGTTTAAAAAAGTTGTTTTAAACAACTTTATTTCTCACACTTTACATGGGTCAGGAATTAGAAGATGTAATAGGATAGCTTTTCTCTACTCCATGATGACTGGGGCCCATGCTGGGAAGACTCAGAAGCTGGGGTAACCCAATGGTGGGGCACAGGAATCATTTGTAAATGTTTTCACTCATATATATGGAGGTTGATGCTAACTATTAGCTGGGAATCAATGGGAGCTGTCTACCAGAACACATACATGAGGTCTCCTCATGTGGCTTGGCCTTCCTCACAGCATGGCAACCTCAGACTTCTGACGTAGCAGATCAGGGCTCTAAAGAAAAGTATCCCAAAGAAAAGCCAGGTGGAAGCTGAATCCCCATTTAGGGTCTATCCTTCGAAGTCACATAGCATCACTTCTGCTACAATAACAAGCCTGCCCAGTTTCAAGGCAAATGAACATAGAACCACCTATTGAAGGGAGACTATCAAAGTCACACTGTAAGAAGAGAATACAGTATAGGAGACACCTTTATAGCCCTTTTTGGAAAATGCAATGTGCCAAGTGGTGAGCAATAAGAAAGGCAGGTCTATAAAATCAAGTTATCTAAACCTTACTCCAAAGAGGAAGAAGTGTGGACATGATGCCTGTGGACTTAGAATAGAAAAATTGTCACATGTTGCAAGGGCTCTCAGATGTAAAAGAACCTATGCTTCTATCAAATAGAGAGGCATCCAAAGGCCAGAGGCTACTGATCTCACCCCTACTATGTCCACCAGCTTTGACCTCTACCCTTAGCCTACACCGAACAACTGGAAGGCTTATTTTGGGTTTTAAATCACTTATCACCAGAATTTATTACCTGTGTGACCTAAAGAAAAATTACAATCAATCTGGGCCTTGAATATATTGAACAGAAATTTATTGAGCTACTACTTGGTGCCAGTCACTATTCTAGGTGCTGAAGTTACAACAGTGAACAAAAAGACAAAAATATCTAACTTCATAGAATTTACATTATAGGCATAAATATGGAGAAAGATAATATATAAATAAGCAAAATAGATAGACCATCAGATAATGATAAGATTTCACCAGGAAAAATAAAGCAGGGAACTAAAAACTACCCAAATGCTCACCAATAGTGAAGGGCTAAATAAGAGCAGAAGCAGATGAGGTCAGGGAAGTTAAAGAGAATTTTGGTGGTGTCCTAGTGGTGTAGGGGCTTAAAGGTTACTGTAAAAACTGGACTTTACTGTGATTGAGGTAAGAAGCCATTGGAGGATTTAGAGCATACAGATGATACAATCTGACTTTCACCCTGAAAGGATCACTCTGTCTTCCCTTTTGACTGTAGGGGGAGGGAGAGTAGACATCAGAGAGGTCAGCTAGGCAGCTCCTGTGAAATTTGAGTGAGCGAGTGTAGTGATTTAGGTAGAAGTGGAGGTGGGAAGATGTAGTCAGACCTGAGATAGAGCCTCCTGTAGATGGCTGAGACACGATATTCCTCTAGTGCTACAAAGCCATGGTGGGGCTGGAGATGAGACAGCACTAAGACTTGAGGGAAAACCTTTTGAAATTCAGTAAAAATGAGCACTCTTGTGTTTCTAAAAAAAAAAAAAATAAATTAACCTGGCCTAAAAGTAATTTTTTACAATATTAAAGAGAATTCTAATGTAGATCAATGTTTTAGATATAATAAATTTTAGATATAACAAATCCTAATAGCTATTGCCTAGTTTATTAAGGTATGATATGATCTAAGAAACATAATGCCCACTTATTTTTTATACAGTTATAGCTTTAAAGTGCACAGTCTAAACAGCAAATATTAGTCTTCTCCTACACAATAAACATTAGAAGCATATCATATTATACTGCATAACTTCATAATGACTCAATTATTGTTTAATTTTTTAAAAATCTATTTTTCTTACTAGATGTTATATTAATTAGTTGAGTTACTTAGATAACCAGAACTTACGAAATGGCAACATCCTGCAGAACATGTGATGAGAAGTTATGACCAACCCAGGGTTAAACGGCATATACAGCTTTGGAGGGACACTAAAGGCTCCCCAAACCTCCTTCATATGAGCTTACTTCAGAGAAGCTATGAAGACTGTTTCAGAGTCTTCCGACGTTACAGTCAACATCTGGGCCATCTCAGTTCTCAACCCTGACCTGTCTAGCCCCAGTGGATTCCAAGAGGGAGAGAAGGAAACAAAGACTATGCTTCCTTCCGTTGGGGCATTCCATGCTCTGTGAGTCAAGACTCTATTCTAAGAGCCCCACTTTGCTTACCAAGGCATTATGCAATGAGCATCGAGGCTAGGGTAATCTCTGCATAATTGCAGAGTTCTTTGAAGGGTTCACCAAGGAGTTTCAAAATGAGAAATAGTGTTTGCAATTTCCCCAAATACTAGGAAGACCCAGCTACTTGTAGACAGACCAGACCCCAGAAGCGCTGATCCAGCCAACATATCCCATCAGGGTGCATTTAACCCCCCATAAAAATTGGCCTGTGAGTATGTTATATAAAATTTATCCCTTTTGATGTTTACTTGAATTAGATGATTTGTGTTAGAAAATATAAGCATCTAATGAAATGAAATGCAAATGAATGATATACATGGAGAGGAATACATCTTCTTTGTTATACAGATCAACCACAATCTTTTTTTTTTTTTCAGATTCTCAGTCAATGTTTCCTACCATTAAAGTTTCAGCCGCCAGTTCCTTCATTTTGCTTTCCTCTGATCTGAGAACATTAGCAGCAGGAACACCTTTACTCTTAAATTTAGTTTAGTGTAAGTATTGCAAGCCCTGCTGGCAAGCCTCAAGGCATAAACTCTGAATGGGGGGTGGTCAGAGCTGTATGATAAAGTGGAAAAAAAGTTATTAACTGGAGTTGGAAAAAAATATCCCTCAACCAATCTCTGTTGGAAAGTTTAAGTTCAGAGTTAGGGTGGAACCTGAGCAGGCTCTCTCCTTGCTTCTAAACCCCACATCCCACCTTGCCTATGCCTATTGAGAAAAGGTATTTTGTTTCTCACAATCAATACATGGCCGTATAGGGCATTTTATTTTACATAACAGATAATGTGTGATCTGAATGTTATGACATACACAATATTTGAAATACACCAAATATTTAAAGGGATCCTATATCAAATTATCTTCTTATTTAAGTAATTACCATCTCTTTTATGCCTTATAAATTCAGTCTTATTTATGGTGAATTTTCCAAAGAAGGAAGTAGCTGTACTCTAGCATGCAGCCAAGGGGAAAATAAGTGGGAAAAAATGCTAGCATGTTTAGGAACCTAGCATTTCAGGCTTAAATTATATCCGTAAAGCAAAGAAAGCCTTTTGCTCTTTGTTAACATGAGTTGCACCATTTTCCTGGTGTTGGCCCGGCAGTGTTCAAAGCTCCTAGGTGAGCTCCAATCTAGACTCAACAATGAGGAATGCAACTAAACACATCACCATTAGTTATGGCACTTCATCAGGGTTCTCCTAGCTCAACACCACAGAGGAAAACACACAATATAGATACGGCTACAGGAAGGAAAATTGCTCAGGTTCAGGTGAGTAAGGAAGAAGGAGAATGAGGCACCTCTGGCTGATACCAAAAGGAGCTTAACCCCAGGAGCCCAAGCTGAAGCAGCCTGTTAGGAGGACCCAGAGGCAGCTCCCCCAGTGGTAGCAAGTGGGCAGTGCTACATGTGGCACCACAGGTGCTGAGACAAAGATCAAAATGCTGCCTGAAGCCATTCCACCGTTGGTATTCAGAAGAGATTTGGTGCATTCTTTGATCTGCTGGTTGGCTCTTGTATCACAGTTACAGTCTCTAAGTTTGGCCCCCACATGCAAAGACAAATGAGAATGGAGAAACACAGGATGAAAGGTTTGAGAGTGCTGGGTCAGGCTGACTGTGTCCCATGGTGTGAGTTTAAGTTTCTGGCCCCCAAGTAAAATTCTTCAAAGAGTAACCCTCCTGCCCTCTATTCCCAGAGATGCCTTCATCAGGAATCACGAAGGAGGGGAGGCCTACCACTGTGTAGACAGAGGCTACTTGGGAAGTGACTATGTCTGGGGCTGACCAGTGTTTCCAGGGTTCAGTCACCTTGGGGTAAAAACTGAGATGAGAGAAATAAAGCTAATAAACCACAGTAAGAAAATTTATTATATGTCATCAAGAGAGTTCAAAATAAATACGATTTTACTAAAAATCATTCATAAAAATTAAAAGTTTTCATATCATCACCACGAGCTCTTTTATCATGGAGGTTTAAAAGAAAATTACAGAAGAAATATCACTAATTATGCTCTTTAAAAAAGTAAAAAATAATTCACTTCTAGTGTTCAATAATTTTGGACACTTCTAGCACCCTGTGGTGGGTAATTAGATAGGTTGTCAAATAAAGTAAGTAGAAAGTACATATTTTCTACTAAATGACACTTATTGAATGGTTAAAACATAAATCAGGAAAAGTGTCTGAAGGCAAGCCACATTGTACTTGACTTACTTTTGCAGGTTACTGCTGACGGTCTCTCCAGGCTTACAGACTTCAGCCTGAAAATCAGGAAGCCAAGAATCACAGCAAAGGAGAGAAGAAACAAAGTTTAAAATCACTCACTAGAATAACTCCTCTCCCCCGCCCCAAGTCAGGGAATAAGATTCATTTATACAAATAAGTGCCCACCATCTAAGTTTAGATGAATTTTTTAAAAAACCCCAACGTGTATCTGTTCCTATGAGAAACTACTCACTAATTCAATGAAATGCCAAAACATCTGAAATATGTATATGTATTGATATATTTCAATACAAATATGACAGGGATAACTATTTGTTTGTTCTTTCAGATTTATGAAGTGGAGCTAGTTATCTTTACCCAAACCAAAAGCATCTGTCCTCTTTCTGTTTCCACCCAGCTCTAAATAAACAGGGCCAATTGACTTATTCCTACACCTGTTTTTCCGCTGCCCTGAGAGGATTAGGTGAACTGGGGAGCAAGAAGAGCTCCTGTCCCTATTCCTCTTTCAGTTCGTTTCTTGAGGTCAGTGGCAAGGGCCTGGACTCAGGAAGCCTGAAAGAAAAGACTGACGGGGGAAGGTGTGTCAGGGTCAGGGAAGGGACTGCCTGGAAGAACAGCCCGCCTCTCCAAGGAGCTGAGAAAGTCCAGTCGCCAGCCCCGCCCCTGCCTTCACGAACCTCGGTGGACTGGCCCTGGAGGCAGCTCCAGTTTTCTGTTCCGCCGCCGCGGTGAGTCCCCCACCGGCGGCAGGTGCTGGGCGCCGGCGCGGACCCCTCCTTCTGTGGTGCTTCAGAGGCCTAGAGCCGCCGGGGCGAAGAGAGGGGACGCGGAGAGCGTTTCCTGGGAAACAGAGGAGAGAGGCGGGGCGGTCGGGGGAGGAGTTAGCTTAAACCGGGGCTCGGGATTGGGGCAGCTCCAAGACTCCGGCCTGGGGGTGGAGCTTGGGGGTGGAGCTTACTGACTGCCTGGGCCTCCAGACTCCGCACAGCAGGCTCTTCAAGCAGGGCTGCTTTCAGAAGTTAGACACTTTCAAAAATTAGCTCTCATAACTCAAGGGTCTCGAATTTGCCGCCTGAATCATTTCCTTCATGGCACTGCATTCTCAATATTTCGCAGCATTTCTCTTTTGTCCACAGGTTAATGGTAAAATGCTGAGGTTGGCATTCATGGCCTCCCAAACCTGACGCCACTTTATCCCCCTGGCCAAGTCGTTCATTTTCCTCTTCCTCAGCCTCTGTCGCGGTCAGAACACACACAAATACTTTTCCCAATCCTGTTTCCAGAAAGATAATTCAGTTTTGAGTTGTGATCTGCTAAACATTCAAAGTGTCTTTCAAAGACTCTCCCTCCCATATCCTTTTTTTTCTTTTTTGAATTTTTACCTGAAACTCAGGATTTTATATTTACTCTAACTAAATGTAATCCTGTTAATCTCAGCCCATCATTCCATCTTTTCTCTCACAGAAAAGTGCAAGGAAGTGAGCTTCCTTGCTTCTTCCCTCCTATGGGACAAAAGAGGGAGATTTGTTGCTTAGTACACCTCAAATACAGACCTGCTAGAAAGTTAGGCTTCTATTCATTGCCTACTGTCCCACTGTAGAAGAGCGAGCCAGCAATACTGCTCACACGAGTCATTCTATTAACCATAAATTGATTCTATTTGGAGCACAAGCATGGCAACCATAATCACACTTTCTTTCCAACATCTAATTTGCTGCAACAAATTACTACATATTTCCACCATGTAAATTTACATGATACATTCCCATGATCACTGTGACTGGGGAGCAGGTCTTTGACCGGAGTGACTCACCCAGAAAGGACCATCTTATGAAAACCAGTTTAATAGCCATTGGCTTCTCTTGGTGAAACTTTTATCTTGACCCTACTAATTACTGTAATAATTATGAGCCCATGTGATTTATTAAAATTTTTCAAGTACCATAAGAAACCATATAAGAAAATAGAATATCAATGAAATTTTATCAATAATTCTCTTAGTTTGTGTTGCTATCACAAAATACCACAGACAGGGTAATTTATAAATAATATAAATCTATTTCTCACAGTTCTGGAGGCCACGAAGTCCAAGATTAAGGTGCCAGCAGGTTTGGCATCTGGTGAGGGCCCAGTCTCTGCCTCCAAGATGGTGCCTTGCTGTTGTGTCCTCCAGAGGCTGCGACAGACACTCTGTCTTCACATGGTGAAAGAGTAGAAGACAGCATTCCCTCAGTCCCTATTATAAGGACCATAATCCCATCCATAGGGCTCTGCTCTGATGACTTAATCACCCCCTAAAGACCTCCACCTCTTAATGCTATTGAACTGGCCATTAAGTTTCAACATTTGAATTTTGGGAAACACACTCAGACTACAGCAATAACTTAATTAGTAAGGCAGAATTTTGGATATTACAAATCGAAGTGTTAAAAAAATAACTTTAGTGATTCTATGAACAATTTTGGCAGTAATATCTTCATATTTTTCCTAGGCTAGTTAGATAATTGAGGATCTATTAACCATTACAGTGGCCATGAGAATGCGCTTCACAGACCACTAGCCATAAACAGCATAATTAACCAAGAGCCCCAGGTACTACATTTTAAAATTTGTGGCTCCCATGCCTTTTGGGATTATTTCTAGTCAATGACAATGTGAAGCAAGAGTATTGATACAGACCAGCTCCTGAGAGACATAGGATTCCTCTGAAGGCCAAATTTGGTTGAAGAATTCTCCTGTGGCTTTACCACACCTTTTACCAGTCTATGATACTTCCACTTAACCCTTTCTCCCTCTCTCCTTCATTGGGGGTCAAAATTGGATCCACCTGATGGCTCTCAGCCTTCTCCAGCTCCCTCCATATTTTCTTTCAAACAGGCATTTCCTCAAATAAAATTTTTGCATATTTACCACATTTTTGCATCAGCTTCTTGAAATACCCTGACCAACACATCTAAAAACTTTCCTAAATTCTCTTCAACATTTATGTCATGATATACAGGGTCAGAATCCCAATGGTAGAGTCCAGCCCCCAGGGGCAGAACATTGAGTGGCACATCCTCTTGTCCACTTAGAAATGACCTAAAATAAGAAGTGGCTCTTAATAACCATGTGGACATAATTTCCTGCCCACTGGAGGTTAGTTTATTTCAGTGCTTACTCAACTCAATGATTTATGAACAACATGATCAGATTTGGCAGAAATTCAGGTTACACATGGATAAGCGAGCAATAAGGATTTGCCCTGACCAGGGATGACCTGGCCTTTGCTACTACAGAGAGCCCATTTCGCATGCAGTGGTGACCAAGCCCAGGTTTATGATAGGATACCATACCCTGCGAGGGCCAACCTACTAGCTGGAGAAAGTTTTTTATATTTTATCTGCTCTGTTACAGAGGGGGCAGTGTTTTGTCCCCACTAGAATAGACAGGTATTCTGTGTAGGGATTTACCTTCCCAACCGGTTATGATTCTGACAGCAGCATCACCAATGGACTTATAAATGCCTATTAATGGCCACAATACAAATGGCTTCTGGGGAAAGCAGTAAAGGGGTTTGTTGATGTTCATGGACTCTTTGCTTTTACCCATAGCCTATTATCCAGAAATTTATGCCTTGTAGAAGGAAATAAATGAAGACTCAGAGCTGCAGCTGGAGTACACTACCTTCTAAGTTTGGGGTGTAGTCCTACAAGATACAATATGTACTCTAACCCAGGAATCAGTGTATAGTGCTGTTTCTCAGAGCCAAGATACTTGGGTTCAAGAACCAAATGGCAGACCAGGGAGTGACACTGCTTGATATTGCACCTAATATCTCATATTCAGAAATTTACTTCTCAGCAACACAACTCTAAAATGTGCTCGATTAGAGTTCTTAATAGTGAAAAGAGAAGTGGTTCTACTGTGAGACACAACTTTGCTTCCATTGAATTGAATTCTGAGTTTGCCACCTAGTGTATTGAGTGCTTCACAGGAGTTGTGGTATTAGACAGGATGGTTGATCTTAACTACCAAAAAATAGAAAGAATTAAAGATGAAACCTAGGGGAATCCTGGAGTGCCTTCCAGAACTTCAATGTCTAATGGTTAAAATTATTAGGAGACCGCACGGTCTCATATGTGTTGTAACACCAAGGGCTTGTATCCATTTTAACAGAATTTTCAAGTTTTTTTTTTATTTCAGCATATTATAGGGGTACAAATGTTTAGGTTATGTATATTACCTTTGCCCAGCCTGAGTCAGAGCTTCAAGCATGTCCATCCCCCAGACGGTGTGCACCACACCCATTAGGTGTGAATATACTCATCTACTCCTCCCCCCCACACGTGCTCAACACCCAATGAATGTTTCTACTATATGTGCACATAAGTGGTGATCAATTAATACCAATTTGATGTGAGTACATGTGGTGCTTATTTTTCCATTCTTATGCTACTTCGCTTAGTTATTCCATCAGGTTAAGAACTTTGACCAGCTGAGGTACTAAATGGAAAAAATAAAAGAAAATGTATAGTGGAGAAGGAAAATTATTCATACTTATGCTGCATGGCAAGTTGCAGAAACAAAAATACCACTTGCATCTACCTAGAAAATTAAGATGAGATCATACCAGAACTGCAGGGAGAATGGATATTATGGACCAATCTGGCACTTGGATGTGACTGCAGTAACAGTCAAATTTTTTTGATTGGCTCCTTTCGGGAATGCAGCGATCATGGTTTGGGTTTGGTAAAGAATTACATTATGTTATTATGGGAATTATGATGTATATGGATGGTGGGCAGCCAGAGGGGTAGATCATAGTGAACATCTGTCATTCTTCTTGGTCACCCAGCATCTATACCTCCTACCCATGTTTGGGAAATCTTGTACCCTATTAAGAGTCTACTTTTAGCTATAGAAGCTCAATATGCCAGAAAGTTACTCTTACCCAGACTCATTAGCAATGAGGGCATGGATATATCACTAATTTCATCCAATTAAGCACATCTGCTCCAGCCTCTGAACCAGAAGTGAGTCCTGCAAAGAAATAATGATTATGCAGAACTGGGAAGGCTGGTAGCAGGGGTCGCCCCACATCAGTTTTCAAAGGCAGCACTGTATAGGGCTTGGGGCCAGGAGTAATGGACTCAGACATCCAAGGTCACACCAGAGAGGTCACAGGACCAGTTATGAGACATGATGTTGGGCATTAATCTAAGCTTCAAGTTTGGTCTCCAGCTGTGAATATTCTGTGAGAGATTCAATGTGATTTTAATAAAATTATATCTGCTTATATTAGTCAGAATTGGTTTCTGCTCTTTGCAAATAAGACCCTGATTGATATTCTACCTCTTCTGAATGGGTGATTTGAGAGATCTTTGAGGGAGAAGTGCTTTTACTGCCTGGACCTAATGCATTGCTCTTGAATGTATTCAAGGCCAGCACCAATCTGCCAGTTGACTTTACCAGCTGAGTAACTTGTTTTTGATCAGAGCAGGACCAGCCCTGCTCTGCTTTATGAAGCTACCTGCAGGGCAGCATGCATCCAGTTCTGCTGTATTGCTTTAGTTTTCCCAGCTAATCAGTGACAGAGCTGCAATTTATTCAGGTATTCTGACTCCAAAATCCTTCCTCCTAATCACTATGTTCCACTGACTTTGGTAGTGATGTCTCATAGATGGAAATGGTCCCTCTGAAGGTGAGCGGTCTCCTTGAGACTTTTCCAGATCACATCATTAATATAGTCTCCATATTATCTGATTGGCTACCGCCTACTGACAAGAGCAATCAGTTTGATTAGCAAGCTGCATATTTCTGAAACTTTTAAAGTCATCCACCTAAACAGTCCTGCACCTTTCACATCATTAA